GCTTCCTTTTCCGTCCTTTTCTCTGACTAACCAACATTTGAGGCTACCGGATGCTTTGCCCACTCAAATGCCCGACTCCACCAAGGATGATGATTCAGTGGTGATTTTATTCTTGTTTAGGACAAGCACTACATCCTCTTACTTCTATGCTGAACTGTCGTAAGCTCCTCAGGTTGCCCCCTCTACTGAAGACGCCTTGGCTCTAAATGCCTATTCCTCCAACTGCCCACAGGTGGCATATTCTTCCACACTGCCATCCCTGGCACTGTCCCTCTCTAGAGAACAACTGGAATGGAGCGCAATGCATCAAAGTCAAGTCTTCAGAAGCCTTGTTCTCTTCCACCATCCCTTGTCTGATACCACGAAAGCTTGAAAATTCTCACCCAACCCTCACTTCCAGGGCAGTCACCCCATACCAACTAATTGTGGGGTCACATTGGTATCCTCTCACTAAGAACACACTGGTACCCTCTTACTAAGAACACTGCTATTCTTCTTTGAAAGCATTTCTAATCCTGGGTGGTTAGAAAGAAACTTTGCATAGGCTACAAAATAAACAGTTAATAGATGTCAAATACAGAGCTGGGCAATGGTGGCGCATACCTTTAATCCCAGCACTCGGGGAGGCAGAGCCAGGCAGATCTCTGTGAGTTCAAGGCCAGCCTGATCTACAGAGTGAGTTCCAGGACAGGCACCAAAGCTACACAGAGAAACCCTGTCTCGAAAAACCAGAAAGATGGATACATGCCACGATGAGTTCCCATATCACACTATCACAACCATCATTGCACTCCATTATCAACTGCTTCGGTAACTGCTCTCCCCCACTAGACTGTAAGGTCTGTGAGGACAAGCATCACGTTAGTTTTGCTCACCCTCATATTTTCAGAAGTCTGGAAAACACTACAAACGGCACAAACACTGATACATGAATGGAGAAGGGTGTAAAGGAAGGAGGTGGAATTAACTTTTCAAATATGGAGGAAGCCCGCTGCAGTTCATTTCATATTCAAACTGCAATCATATGGACAGTACTTGTGGAAATACTTTCCTCCTGACTGGGATTTCACCAACTCCTTCCTGTGCTTATTGAATTGCTGAAAATAATGTAAAAAGTGTTATTTCCTCCTCTGATTCCTCCAGGAGATGAAGACACAAATCATAGAGTCCAAATGAGTTGAGCCAAAGTGGTTCTTCTTGGTTCTTACGTCACTGTTTTGGAGTCAGCCCAGCTCTCCACACTATACCATCTGCATTGTGTCCTAAATGTCTCTCACTTTCCCATTTGACCTTCTCTGCACTGTGAGTCTCAGTTCTTTCCTTTGACTCCCCTCCCAGTACAGATGATTATTCTTGTTCTAATGGAAAGGAGTGTGTGCTCATCCAAAGGTGTGGGTTGTCCAGACATTTCACTGGTTTCCAAAAGTATCATATAGATTTTCTTCTAACCTGATAATTCACTGACTGCTGAGAAAACAGAATTCTTCTCTAAATGGCAATCCAAATTTGGAAACCACAGCTGCTTTTAGCAATTGAGTCATTGCCTTTCAGGTGCCAAAAATATCACCTATTATATTCTCTAGGGTTCAAAGAAAGAGGAAAGAGAAAAAAGGCAAAGAACAAATGGAGAATAAAGGTAGTATGGAGCATTTATAGTCACAAAAATTATTAAAACAAGTGCAATAACTAACAAAGTAGCAACAACAACAACTATTGCTTAATATGAATTAACAGACCAGCTGTGTGTGACCTTCCTAACTTCCTTAAAAAAGAGGGAATGTAGAATTCTTAGCATCTTCACTTTATAGGTAAAGAAATAAAGTTATGGATATTCTGGCTCTCAGCCCCAACTAAGGTGAAAGCTGCCACCAGCTGAGTAAAAATGACTTCTGATTAATCTTATGTGACAATCTTGATGCACCTCAGCCATAAAATCTTCCAGCTAACAGTTTCAGCTACCATGGAGCAGAGAAATTATCCCTGCTATGCTCTGTGCAAATTCCCACTTATCTGTTCCATCACATAACAACTGTTTTTGCCATGAAGTTTTGGAGTGATTGCTTATACAGCCATAGAAAACCAGAATAGAGTCCATGACTTGAAAGGACCTCTGGGCAGGTTATGTTTCTATGGCCAAAAGATGATGCCTGATCTTGCTGCTAAATCTAGCCCTCCCTTCCAGGAGCCTTTTACTTATAGGTCATTCCTCCTGAGGGCTTCCACTATTTCTTCCTGAAGTGGGAGGCCACTTCAAGGGCATCAGGCATATTTTTAAAGGCTTGAATCTCAATTTTCCATAGGGTTTTAATTCTTTCATGTATATTTCTGGGACCCTACATAAACCAGGAAGTAAGTTTTGCTCCTTTAGCTTTTGAATGTTCTGTGATGATTAAGGGCCACGCAGAGAGAAAGGGCGAAGCAGAGAGAGAACACCTTCGTCTTTGTTCTAACTTATACTCACTTGCTACACTTAAATAATAACGTGAATACAGTTAGAACTGTCTCTCTTGGTCAATATTATTACTAATGACAATCTTTTAATTGGGTTCAAAGATAGAAGAACCAAAAATAAAGGGACTTGACTATCTTGTACATTGTTGTAATACAAACACTTAGAAGGCTGTCTGAAGTATATTGCCTGAGAGAGTTAACTTACGAGTAAAGGAATAAAAGAAAAGTTCTTCTAGAGAGCAACACTTGAATTAGCACAGTGAGTCTAGAAAACTGTAACATTCTGTAGGTTGATTTTTGTTTGATTTTGAGGCTAAGTCTCATCAGCCAAGATTGGCTTCCAACTCATGATCCTCTTGCCTCAGACTTCCAGGGGCTAGGTTATAGGCATGTATTACCATGATCAACAAAAGGTTGATATTCTGTTGCACCAGGCAACATGTTCCAACTTAGTCAAATATTAAAACTGAATTCCTTGAGGCCACATTTTATTCTATTTTCTATCTCCAGCATCTGGCACTTTGCATGGTGCTTGCAATACTTTTCACTAACTGTTGTCAAACAGACTGGCAGAAATATTTCAGATCATTTAGTTCTTCTTGTCTAATAGAAGGCAGTGATAGAAAAAGGTTCTGGTCAATGTCCCCTGTCCCATGGTGATTACATTAGGATATAGAAATCCAGGAGTTTTGAGAGTTCCCATGCTTTAACATTCCCCACGAACAAGTGAACATGGAGACTGTATGTTATTTGAGTAAGACATTAGCATGAGAATATAAAAAAGGTTCAGACTTCCACTTTAGTTCTCAATGGTGCTTTTCTATGATGGCTTCAAGTAGAATTTTCTCTCAGAGATAGTTTTAAACATGAACCATTCATTCATTTGTCTACTTATTCATCCATCCCATATTTACAGAGGGACTACTTATTGAGAAGTATTTTATCTGCTCAAAAGGATAGCTGAGTACCCACAGAGTGCAAATTTCTAGAAAAGAACATTACTGGACAGCAGAAGATGTATTTTGATGAGGTCTAGTGGAACTTACAAGATCCTCATTATTCAGAATGAATGAATATAGTATACCTCAAAATGTGACCCTATATCCTGTAACACACACACAATCACTAGACAGATGACTACTATTCAAGGTAGAGCTCTCAGCTCTAGCCACACTAAACCAGAGTGTCAAGAACAAGACCGGGCATGTTTCTAATGGGCACCATTGGTTATCTGGATTGGTCCAATAACTAAAGGGGTCTTGCTGGGAAGACTTACATGCAATTGCTTAATACAATTTAATTTTTCTCTTCCTTTTTACAAAAGTCAACTCTTACATGGCTGATTCTAAGATACCTAAGAATGATGTAAATATGGATCAGAATCATTAGCTCTCAAAACCAGAACTTCAATGAATATGAGCAATGATAATCCCCTTAAACTAGCCCCAAGTGAATCCCCAGGAGAACAAAACAAGCAAACTTGTCATTAAAGAAGCCCTTTAAATAAAAATAATAGTTTCACTTAATTTTAAATGGAGGGCAACGTTGGAAGGATGAAGAAAAAGTCTGCTTTCTTTTTTGTTGTTGCTGTTTGTTTTAACAAACCTTTGATTCCCATGTGGAGTTTTTATTCTTTGAATTTTACTTTTTGTTTTAATTAATTTATAATAGCTGCACATATTTATAGGGTACTGTGTGCACTATTTCAGTTTTTATAATGAAGAGCTTCACCTCTTTGTTATTTCTTTACATTTAGAGCCTCTGAGCTCTCTTCAGGTATTGCTAAGCTGTATCACTGTGAACAGTCACCTTGTTATGCTGGAGACATGGATGTGTCTGCACCACTTCACTGTGGTGTGGTACCTCTTAGCTCACTTCTCTATTCGCCGCTCTCTCTCCTCTCCTAGCTTCTGCTATTTTCTAGTTTGAGTGAATTGTCTTACCTTTTCCACAGGGAAAGGAACATGCAGTATTTGTCTTTCGGAGTCTGGCTCATTCTACTCAACACAATGACCTCCAGTTCCATCCATTTTTCTAAAAATGACAGGGTTTCATTCTTCATTGCGTAAGAAACCTTACACTATTTCTTTATCCATGTGTCCACTGATAGATACCTTGGTTGACTGTATCTCAGTTAGTCTCAACAGGAAGCGCTGCAGGAAGCATGACAGTGCAAGCAGCTCTTTGATATGATGGCCATACTTTGGATCACTGGGTCATGGGTAGTTCTAGTTCTGGTTTGTGAGACACTTCTGCACCATTCTCCATGACTATACTACTTCCATCCCCACCAACAGTGTGTAAGAGTTCCTTACCCTTGAAATCATTTGTTAGAACAGCTCTAGATCTTGATGTGACAAATATAAACCCTTCGAAATGTGAAAAACAATAACGATCCACAATCATCATTGAAAGAAGGGGGTGTGGCCACGTCCATCTGGAATCTTTTCCTAGCCTGGTTCCCACAGCACTAAATTCCAGTTGAGACCCTGTGACCTTTTCCTTGTCTTTCTTCCAAAACACATCAGCTCACAGATAATTCTACTCACTTTCTGAATTTTCCTAATCTGGTCAGAGAGTGTATCTAACAGACGAGTTTTCAGGAAGTCCATCACCTTGACCACCCGGCCATCAATGTAGCAACTGGAATAAAAATAAAATAACAGTCAGATAAAATCTTGAAGAGGGGGCTGGAAATACACTTCTCTAATCAGAAGTCTCTGTTTGCTGAGGAAACCTAGGATTGTATCCATCACAGGATAGATTTTGACTCTTCATACTTTTCAAGCAAATAATATTCTTTGTATTTTCTCTGTTTCCAATTCCATTTGTCAGCTACTGTGACTTTTTTCAGCCTTGCTCAGGTAAAAACCCATATTTTGCTCTCTGGGAACTGACAGATATTACATAATCTAAACTGGGCAATTGGGGAAAAACTTGCTTTTTCTCTTGGGAAAGGGACTTAGCCTCCAATCTCATGGCTGTCTCTATCTTTACCTTAAAGCAACAAAGGCATGGGAGAGTTTCAAAGGAACACCCAGACATTTGCTAGGTTTCCACTTTTAAATAAGAAAATAAACAACAGAGTAAAATTCTGATGCAGTGCAGTCAAACGTCTCAAGTGTTTCCAGTTTCTAGCTTGCTTCCTTGGTAAAACTCATTATAGTGGAGCCCTCTCCCCATCATTTGGATGAATGAATGAGTGAATAATGAACAAACAAATGCAAAGAAATCCATACACTGGCCCCAAAGCTCTCTGCTGATCGAACAGGGCTGGTGCTCATTTGGTCTGCTTTCAGTCTGGTTTTCATTAGGGACTTAAGAGAATCATCAAGCTGCATTGACACTTCTGAACATTTGACCAAAACAGGCCCACCCCACCACCTCATGTGCTCCTCTTTTCTGAACCACTTATTCCGAAGACTAAGCAGACATGGGCTCCAGGTGAGGTGACCTTCATCACCTAGAACCCCGCCCTACTCCTATCTTGGCAAAATCTGAACTAAGAAAATTTTTAAATGCTTATGATTCCCATATGCCTAGCCTAATCCACTAAAGTCTTATTGGTTGATAACTAATGATAGATTTTCTTTCGTTTGAAATAAAAGATCTATCCATCAATATATACAGACTTATATGAAAGTCCTTCTTAATGTTGTATGGAATGGTCAGGCTTAAAAACCTATTATTGTAAACAGGTGCTCCAGTTGAAGTACGGGAAGGAGACAGGTCTTACTCAGCCTTCTGTCGGCCTCTCTCACCACCATAAGGTATTTCCAAAGAACTCAATGTTTAAATGACTGATATGTTAAAAAACAAAAAACAAAGAAAAATGTGTTTTTGGAGACAGAGACATTTGAGTTCAGATTCCTGATTTGGCATTTGCTGCTTATATAATCTCAGAGGCTTTCCTGGTCTCTACAGACCTCAGTTCTTGCATATTTAAACTGTCTGTCTGCCTGCCTGCTTGCCTGCCTGCCTGCTTGCCTGCCTGCCTACCTACCCACCTGCCTATCTATCATCTGTCTAGTTTTTGTTTGCATGTTTGTTTCTGAGACAAGGGCTCACTTTGTAGTCCAGGCTTGCCTGGACTCACTATGTAGCTCAGGTTAGCTTTGAACTATAGTATTCCTCCTGTTTCAGCCTACTAAATTCTGAAATTCCAACGTGTGCCACCATGTTTGGTAGTTCTCTTATTAGTGAAAGAGGGGTGACATGTCTGCTCCTTGGGGCTAATTATAAAATCAAGGAGATAATAAACCTAAGATGCCTGACACACAGCAGGCACACAGAAGGTACACAAAAACTTTTTTGTTTTCTGACCTTTCTAACTTCATTTAAGGCACAGGACACTAGTTGGTAAAATTATGTATAAGTATAGAATCCTAAAAAGTAGAAATATTGTCAGAATATATGTACTTATATTTTTTGTGTGGTTACTTACATAATGGAATAAAACAATAATATGACATTTTACCGCATCTCTGGTTCAAATGCCAAACTCAAGTTCAACAAACATTTATTATGTATAACATAGTTTCAGTCATGGCCACTGCCTTAACATTTCATAACCTCTCCTCTCTAGTATTTCGTTATTACCATCTCTAATTTTTTAACAAGTTGAGCTTGATCATGCATTACATGAAAAATGGGCATGCTGGGATGGGATCATTAAAATTAAAGAAAAGCAAGCTGTGCACTGTTGTTCTAATGCACAGCTGAAGAAGTGAACACTTACATGGTGACACGTCCTATGACAAACAGCATGCTGTAATTAGTCTCTCAATATTCAAGCAAACATATTGTCGTTTCTCCTTTTCTCTACATTCATTTCCCAGTAACTATGCTAACAATCAGTGTTTATCATTTTTGCTGGCAACACATAGAGTTTAATAGTTATTGACACAAAGATGCCAGATGTAATTTTTCAGTATGTAGGATTCTCCACAAACATTTAGACTAACCCATCTGATCTATGGTCCCTTCATTCTTTTCCTCTTTTCTTTTATTCCTTTGTTCAAGTTACATAGAACTTAGAGTTAAAAACCCTGGCTCACTATGCTTTATCACTTATTACCCACATGATATTTGATCTCCACCTCTTTTTTCCAAGTTGGCATAAAAAGTAATGGATTTAGTTATAACATTTTCATACACATATATCTGGGTTTCTCTTTCTGTAAGATAAGTTAAAAAATTCAAGCCTGGAGCCTGCAAGACGGCTCAGTGGGCAATGGCGCTTGCCACAAAAGCCTGATGATCGGAGTTGGATTCATGAGGCCTACCTCTGACTTCCACATGTGTGTGCTCTCCCTCTCGCTCCCCCCACTCTCCCACCATGTGTGTGTGTGTCTATCTCTCTCACACACACTCACATGAAATAAATAAAAATGTAAAAAAAAAATTAAAATTCAAGCCTGTAATATTTTTATAGGGTTGCTATGGTGAACAAATAAGGAAAAACACTGGCCACAGAGCCTAGCACATCGAAGGTATCCAATAACCAAATATACTCTGCCAGGCTCAAGGTAGCAGAAACTTGACTGAAAGGCTGTGCGCTGGGGCTGCAGGGGGAGCATCTTTCCAGAGGAGAACACTCTCATCCACTACAAGGTTTGAAGGAGGAAAATATGTATCAGTAAAGACAAACTCTGGATTCCTTGCAGGTGGGAGCAGAGAGAAATATGCTCTGGATTAGTTTGCTCAGTGAAATATGCTCCGGATTACTGTTTGCTCAGTGACTGACATTCTGTTTGTCTGGACCCAGAAATAGTGCAAGTCCTCCTTCATTCAGCACAGGAGAAGGAGCTCCAACAGAAACTTTAACTTAAGCCTTTCAGAGCCCATTATTGACCCCATTTTTAACCTAACAAGCTGGATCCAATTATTCCCAGTTGTTCCTTGGCTACTCCTGAAGACTGAATTTGGACTGGGGTAGGAAGAGCTCCAGGCAGAGAAACCAGGGGACAAAGTTACCTCAATGGTGTGGGCAAGAAGTGATGTGGCTCTAAACAAGGGAAGACACCGAAGACATGCAAGTGGCAGACTGTGACGAAAGCACTCACAATATTTCCTTCTGAGTGAAATCGAGGCATGCAGTGAAGGATGACCATGAGCTCAAGAGAGGATGCCTTGGAGAACATTATGCTGAGGACAATCAGGCATTAGAGTTAGGCCACAGCTTGTCAAGAGAGACGAAGGAAGCAGTTTGATAGATCCATACTATCGATCAAACATACACAGACTATCAAAGATGAAATATACAGCAGCTAGTTAGACACAGCAGAAAACTGAGATGGGCAACGTTGACCTGGTCTCTTCTTCAGCTTAAAAGTCATGGGTGAAACTATGGCGATAGATGAGGTTACTAAGCAAATAAGGGAAGGTCACAGAGATGTCAGAGACCCTTTAAAGTACTTCTCAAATATGGCCCTGGGCTTGCCTGTACCTTTGACCCAATGAAGGAACCGAACCCCTTTACTGCCCTAAGCAAAACAGCATCTTTCTAACCACCTCAGTCTGAGTCTAGTTTATATTTGGATGTCAAAGGACTCCTCATATTAGCCTGAGAATTTCATTTGCAACTTAAATTCACCTTTGTCTTAAACTATTGAAACAGGAACTTTGGTCACTAAAATTTGGGATCATTCTGAAGAGAGGGGAAGGGGATCAATTAACAACATAGCATGAACTGGATAACCCTAAAGCCTCTTTTATTATATTCGATTTTTTAATTTTAGACAGGATCTCGTTCTAATCAAATCTAGTCTAGAATAATTCACTGTACATCACAAGCTGGCCTCAATTCACAGCCTATTGGAAGCCCTGCTTATCAGAGCACTTGGGTACCAATAATACCTCTCCATAGTGTCACAGTTACAGACCAATATAGCACACAGATATGGGTATGAAGGAAGTGAAGCAGTCTGTGCTCACCAGCAGGCTGCTAATCATGATGATGAGGGTCATTTATTTATTACTTACTAAGCTACAGCCCCAGCTCCAATGATACGGATTTCTAACAATGACTGGGTAAAAGGAAGCCAGGCTGGATGATGCTAATTTTTCAGTGATTTGAGGACAACTCTCTTCCTTTCTGTCTTTTGCCCTCAGAAGATAATGATGATTCTTAGCTACTCACCAGTCTCTACAAGAGTTAATTAGTTTAGCAATGGCTGCAGAGGATTCTGAAGACAGATAAACCAAAAAGAAAGAAACTGGCAGTGGGAGAGCAAAGAAATTTTTCAATTAGAGAAACTCTAGACATGTCCATATAAAATCCCAGCAGGGTGATTTTAGAATTCCCTATAGTAACACTTTTAAGCAAATCTTAGATCTCCTCCAAACCCTTATAAGCTCCAACTTCACTAAGGTCACACAAAGAAATGAGCCACTCAATTGATGGGTGCAGCCAGGAAGGCTGTGTTGAAATAACCTTTCCATAACTATTGTAACAGATGAAACATTTGTTCATGATCAGAATAGTCTTGCTTGACGGCACCTACTGTCGTTCTTGTCTCTAGACTGGCAGGTCACACCAAGCATGGCAAGAATGGCTGAGTATTCAAAGCAAATGGATCCTCTTATCAATTTATTCACTAACTTTCTTATGCATTTAAATAAAATTTAAAATTTTATTTACT